CGTGGAGTCGGTTCCGACTCCTAGCGACCCTGTACAGGGTTTCCGAGGCTGTAAGTCTTTACGGGAGCAGAAAGCCTTATCTTTCTCCTGCGGAACAGCTGGGAGTTTAGAACTGCTGACCTTGCAGTTCACTCACTATGCCTTCTCATAAATGCCCTGGTGTGACGCTGTGGGTTAATGCACTGAACCGCAAGGTTGGTTCAAACCACAAGGTGGGTGGTTCAAGCTCACCAGCCATGCCTCAGAAACCCTATTGTGGGGTCGCTATGAGTTGGAATCGAATTAAGAACACTTAATGACAACAACAAAAACAATATCATAAATGTATTAAAGAGTATGTTGATTTATATACAATTATATTTGAGTAATTCAAGGAGTGTTATTGTCAGACTATTGATGTGAAGTAATATGTAAATTAAACATTTTAATTGATTAAAGTATGCACTATCAAGAAAATATGACTTCAATTTTGGTGAATAATTACACTTCAAATTTTACTTTAGATTAAAATTTAACCTAAAATAATTTACATTAAAATTAGATCTACGGAGAGACCACAAAGCAGATAATCACAGGGATATATTTTGAGTATCAGTCACAATTATGTATTTTTCCATGAAATTTTTGAAACTCCCTTTTATTTCACTTTGGAATCTGTGTTGAAATGTGGTGTTACTGTGCTGTTGAAGTTGGCTGTCCCTGTAGAGTTCATACTGAAGAAGTTTATTTTAGCTTAGCAACTATTTTCCATTTTTAAAAAAAGTTACAGTGTTTCATTTTCCGTGTTTCTGAATAGTTAGAAGTAAAATAGAGAAGTACAGAGATTTAAGTATGATTTTGCTAAAGGAATTTTCAGTTGCACGAAGCTTTTTATTACTTAACTTAGGTGCTGGTATGGCACTGTAGGATAAACACTTGTTGGCTGTTCAAACCCATCAGCCACTCTCAGAAAACCTATTCAGGGTCTCTATGAATCAGAATTCACTAGACAGCACACAGAAAAAACACAACAATTTAACAAGTTGTTTCAATTTAACCTGCTCTTCCTTTATCTTAAACAATGGTCTAAAAGCAAATACCCCAAGTAAATATGGTGTTAAAAAGATAATTCAGTAAATGAATATCAATATATTGATAATTGTTTTGTCTCAAGAAAGTTGAAGGTTTGTTTAGTATGAAATTTTCTGCACTGATGCTGAAGAAATTCTTATATGTTGTTTCATAGCAAACAATGCTTTCTTTTTTTGTAGATTCTGAGATTTATTTCAGACTTCCTTGCCTTTTTGGTACTCTACAATTTCATCATTCCAATTTCATTATATGTGACAGTCGAAATGCAGAAATTTCTTGGATCATTTTTTATTGGCTGGGATCTTGATCTTTATCATGAAGAATCAGACCAGAAAGCTCAAGTCAATACCTCAGATCTAAATGAAGAACTTGGACAGGTGAAAATGATGCTTTTGTTTATCTAATTTGTTACTTTAATCAAAAGAATACATGTGTAAAATATTACGGTACTTATGTTTAAAAATAGTCTACTCTGCTTTGCCCTTAATTTTTGTTTCTTATTTTTTAAATCTTAAGCTGTCTCTTCCTTTACTTTCCACTATATTTCTATATAGCATTATAATGATACAATTTTTATAGTACTTCTACCTCCACCCTCACCCCACACACACACACCCAGCCATGGTTCTCACCAGCGTTGGGATTTCACAATTTGGGAAATAATAAATACTCACTTGACATTAGTATGACGGTGTTGACATTGTTCACTAATTCACAGTTCTTTATGCATGCCTCTAATACAGTAATTACATTTCCTTATGTAAATTTTATGTTTTCTCTTTTGCTTAATTTCCATATGCCATGAAACAAATTAACAAATATATGAAACTTCTTAGCATATAGCCAAGTACATCAAATAGTCTAGAGTTTTTCCTCCTTTACCCCCTTTCTTCCTCCCTTTCTTTCTGTACATGATAGCATTTTAATAGGCTTTTTTTTATATATATACAAACATCTTTATTTTATAAATGAGGGGAGTTCAAAATGGTCACAGTAATTGATTTTAAGGGATAAACGACCTTTAATTTGTCAACATAAGGTCCATGAAATACAAGACCCCTTTATAAGTGATGTTATCAACAATTTAGTCCCAGGATTCATGTTAGAAAAAGTACCCATCTCACCCAACCTAAATGAGGAAAATTAAAAAGCATTTAACTCCTGCCTGAAAGTCATGTGAGGCTCTCTTCTCCTTCATCTGAACTATTTGCCATTGAGGATTCAGACTGCAAGGGTTCACCTTCCCGCCTTTTTAATAGGCTTTTATCTTATTGGCCCAAATTGGACTTTCTGTTTCTGGCCTGCTTCTCAACTCGCACGTCATATTTCCCTCTGCCATCATCCTAGAAATTCCCTTGCCCCTTTCTCGGTTTGTATCTCTTGTTTTCTGAATCTCATGTCTTCCCACTTACTGCTTATTCTCTTATTTTGGTAGAGCACATCTTCTAACAGCTTCCCAAAAAAGAATGCTTAAAAGGAATATACTTTGAGACTTTGCATGTCTTAATGACATCTATATTATTCTTTTCACATCTGATTGATAGTTTAACTACACATTGCATTCCAGGCTGGAAAGAATTTTTTCTCAGAATTTGGAGGTATTCATTGTTTTGTGGCTTCCTGTGTAGCTAATAAGAAATCCACTGTTACTCTGATTTTCAGTTCTTCATGTTTAATCTATTGTTTCATCTCCAGAAGCATCTTCTCTTAATTAATGCAATAGTTCTGAAATTTCATGGGTGTGAGTCCTGTATTTCCTTTCATTGGTCATTGTGCTCAGTAAGTCTTTTTAGTTTGAAAACACATGTCCTTCAAGTACAGGAAATTTTCTCGTATTATTTCATTGGGGAAAGGTGAGGCTTTCTGCTCTTGCAAAAATTTACAGCTCAGAAAACCCTAGACGGATCTCTGTGTGTTGGAACTGACTCAGCACCACGTAACAACAACAGTATTTCTTTGGTAATAGCTCTTCCTATGTTTTCTTTTTCTGAAACACTTGTTATTTGGGTAAAAGACCACCTGGATTGATCCTGTAATTATTTTAGTTTGCTGTTCAATTTTCGTTTATTTGTTATAATATTCTTTCTGGGAGAGTTGCCCAACGTTAGCTTTTCACTTTAAAAAACAAAAAATTTCGACTGAAATATTTTTAGTTTCTAAAATCCAGTATTCTCTGAATAGTTTTTTTAAAACTGCATCTTATTCCTGTTTCTTAAATGTAATCTATTCCTTTACTTCCCTGAGCCTGTTGAAGGCAGTTAGGTTTCTTTTGATTCCTACATTTTCTCTGTTTGCTCCTTCTTTCTTTCTTTCTTTCTTTCTTTCTTTCTTTCTTTCTTTCTTTCTTTCTTTCTTTCTTTCTTTCTTTCTTATTGCAGTCAGTTCTGTTATAATGCCACATCTGCAATGCTAAAAAATCATTGCATTATATGGAATTGCTCAATGAGAGCCATATTGCTTATGGAGAGAAATAAGGTTAGGGACGCAACACCGAAACATTAATAACACATTAAAAAAAAAACAAACTAATACTTCTTAAATGGTTCCGTAGTATATAAATACTATAATAAATATGGCACCGTATCTTTAGAAAGGCTTTAAGATTGCTTGTGGAAGTGGGCTTTGGAGCAATTGCAGCTTTGGATGTTATTGTGAACCTATAGAAGGAAGGATACCAGCAATTAGAAGGAAAGTTGTCTTAACGCTATCAGTGAACAGGTGTGGCTCATAACACACATGATGAACTGAGGTAGTTCTTTGAGGTTTGTGCATTTCAGACATGCCTACATAGCTGGGTGTGTTTTTCTGCAATCACTTAGAGTTTCTCAGAGATAAATTGTGCATACATAAAGCCAAAGTTCACATTATCCCCAAATTGCTCCTTTATCTATCAATCATATCTTACTAGTAAATTTTGTGTTTTGAAACAGTATTATAGCAGAACTGCCTGAAAATTGTTTTAGACAGTACCTTTCACATAAAAAGTCATTCTCAAATGAATGCTAATCCTTGCCATAGATGGAAACGTTCAATTCAGTGGACTCCACTTTCAGGTAATGGACTTGAAGCCCAGCTGTTTTGGGGAAGTTGTCTTTTCCACTTAAAAAACATAATTGTCTTTTCTTTTCAACATCTTTCTTTTTCACTAGATTTTATTTTATTTCTTGCTGCTCTCAGTTTTAATTTCCTGTATCTATTTTATATAGCTTCCCACCTCTGAATTCACTTTCTTTCATTTTGTGCTCCTATTCCCAGCTCTGTACCAGATACCCTTTCACATTCTAAATTATTAGCTCTCCCTTCCACCCTTGATTTAAAGCTAACTTTTGAGAAATTGTACTTTAAAAAGCCTTATCCAGGAGATAGAAAAGAAGTACTAATACTATATTCTCAGTAAACTCTAGGGGGTGAATATGCAACTAAAAATGCCATAAAGTTCAGATTGTTTGTGGTTTAAAATATTTTGCCTTACTCTGTTTTGTTTCTTTGGCATGTTTATTATTCAGCTGTGCTTGGATTATAAGAATCTCTGTATTATTATTATATCAGTGTTAGGTAAACTTGAATTCAAGTTAATATAGTACCATGAATGTAAAGGTTTGTTTTGTTTTCTGCCCTTCTAGGTGGAGTATGTATTTACTGATAAAACTGGTACACTGACAGAAAATGAGATGCAATTTCGGGAATGTTCAATCAATGGCATAAAATACCAAGAAATCAATGGTAGACTTTTACCTGAAGGACCAACACCAGACTCTTCAGAAGGAAACTTGCCTTATCTCAGTAGTTTATCCCATCTTAGCAATTTATCCCATCTTACCACTAACTCTTCTTTTAGAACCAGTCCTGAATATGAAATTGAACTAGTAAGTATGCTTCAGATTAATGAATAGACATTATATTTCACTAATGTCTTTCATTTTATTTGTCAGTGTGTTTTAGAGAAAAAACGTTCAAGTGTCAGTGGGGCAAGGAATGTGCATTTGAAAAGTATGAGTGTCCTCTGATTCAATGCTACAAAATATAATCCTGAGAATTTATAATCACAGCCCAGTTTAACTTGTCATTTACCATGTGTGCCTTAGTTTTCTGGGTATTTGAATGGTGCTACGAAAAGTTGTTACTGTCGTGAAGAGAGTGAAGATGATATTGCTAAGAAATAGAGCTTAAATATTTTTATTTTTAAATGATCAATTAAGTCTTTAAAAAGTTTTTTTTTTGTGGCATGGTGAAATAGTATGGAACAAATTAGTTTTCCATTCACCAATTTATATACATTTTGTTTTGTGACCTTAGTTGCAGTCCTCTCCAAGTAACAGTACTCTTCCCATTTCCTCCCTGAGTACCATTTCTAGGTTTCCTCATGTTCTTTAAGGGTATTGTTTACTTTGTAAGGGTGTCGATTGTTGAGCTTGAAAGGTGATCCCTGGGGATAGGTTTCGTTCTAGGTTTGAAGGATGTCTAAAGGCCATAGCATAGGGGGTTGCAGCAGTCTCTGTCAGATAGTCTGTTTCTTTTGTGTGTGTTCTACATTTTTCTCCAACCCTGTCCAGGACCTTCTATTATGATCCTGGTTAGAGCAGTTGGTAGTGGTCGCCAGGCACCATCTAGTTCTTCTAATCTCAGGGTAGTAGAGGTTATGACTTGTGTGGTCTGTTAGATCTTTGGACTGATTGTTTCCTTGAATCTTTGATTTTATTTGCTCTTCTTTGCTCGAGACAGGGAGTTTTTAATAAATTTTGAACACTTAACGTGTTCCACACAAGGTCTCCTTTACTTGTGGAGTTGACAACAATTTACTTTTTAGAATCAAAGCTAGCCATCTATTACTCAAAGCACTTCAAGGTTATAGAACTTGCCTGACAAAATTATTCATTGTGTTTATCAGCATTTTTTTATTATTATTATTATTATTATTCTGTTGCTAGTTTCCTAACTGGTATTTTGGAATGGTGTTTTTTACTGTGAAAAATAATTTTTACTACAGGTTAAGGAACATGATCTCTTCTTTAAAGCAGTCAGTCTCTGCCATACAGTACAGATTAGCAATGTCCAGACTGATGGCATTGGTGATGGGCCCTGGCAAACCAACCTCACACCCTCCCACTTGGAGTACTATGCCTCTTCTCCAGATGAAAAGGCCCTAGTGGAAGCTGCTGCCAGGTAATCTCATCCAATTTCCAAATCTTCTCAGAAGTACTGTTTTTTAAATGAAGCTTACAATATTGTCAAGCACAAATTCATCATTTTAAATTGTCTAATTCATAAACTCATAAAGGTAGAAGTGCATTTTAAATTTTAAATGAGAAATTGATGTGTGCTGTTTTTGTGTTCAACCTTGCATTGGATCGTTTGAAGAGATCTCTTAAAATCTGGTTACTATGAAATCTAAGTAATTCAATTTGTGAGAAATTATTCTATGCAGCTGTCATTGAAATTTTTCTGTAACAGAAAGGAATAGTAGTGGTACAGGGCCTTTGATCCTTCAAGTTCTTAAAAGTAATTGTATATTCAGAGGAGTTTTGGGTTTTTTTCTCTCTCTTTTCTTTTTTTTGACCCCTTCATGCAAAGCACTGGAAATATTTTTAAATGCATTTTAAACTTTTCATTTTAGATGTTTTTATTCAGGCTAAGTTAATAATGAAGCATCGTGAAATATGAAATATCCCCCAAATTTTACATTTCTTTCTCCTTTTAATTCCAAGAATCGGCATTGTATTTACTGGCAATTCTGAAGAAACTATGGAAGTTAAAACACTTGGAAAATTGGAACGGTAATTTTTTTTCCTACGTATTGTAATTTTCCGTATATTGCATATAGAGTATAGTAAACTGGCCTGCAGCTGAAATCTAGTCCATGCCTTGTCTTTGTACAGCCCAGAAGCTACATTGCAGGATTGACCCCCTCTAAGCCCCCCAAAAGAATCAGTAACAGAGACTACATGAGTCCTGCAAACAAAAAAGTTTACTAAGCCTTGTTCTTGAATAAAGTCAGTATTGTATCTTATCACAGCAGTGGTATTCTACTATGAATCTTTCATCTGTATGTTAGCTTAATTCCTCTTATGTGTTCATTTATACACACTCCTAGAGTAATGGATTTTGTAAGTTTCTATTTTATTGAATACAGAAAGCTTTCCTTTTATCTCCTATGAATTTGTCTTTCAAACATTAAAGAACAGCTCTCTAATTTCTGATGTTTTCACTGTTTGATAAATTAGTCAAACTCATACCTTTCATGGTTTTATCAATTTTGATCATATCTCAGTTCTAGCTTTGCTTTTCCACATTATGCTCTTCCTAACTAAATGGGGCCCATTCTTTGGCCACTTTCATGTGGGTGCCTCTCTAGCTCACTTTATCAGTTTATAAACCATTTCAAACTTTTACTTCAGATATTTTTATTTAAGCTAATAGTAAAGCTTCCTGAAACATGAACTATGTCACTGTGAAGTATACAAAGCATTTTGTATGTCCACAAGATTCATCTGGAATACTCTGCAAGCCCCACCTGACCCATCTACATTCATTTTTTGACAAATCACTAGAGGTGTTTGTTCCTCCACCTGCATGCACACACACCCTATCTCAGGTTCAGAGCCTCTGTTTTGAATGGGAGTGTGTTGTAATTCTCAGGTGTGTTAGAACAGAAAAAATGTTGAGAATCTTTGTCATGAGGAAAAATATGGAGCTAAACCTAACAAAATTCTGTTCTAACTCTACCACTCATAATTGTTTTTGACTTTAGGCAAATTACTTAAACTTTCTGAGTTTAATCATCCTCATTCATAAAATGAAATAAAACTCTTTGGGTTCTCGTGGGTATGTAAAATCTAGGACATTTGGTAAGTACTCAATAAACGTCAGTTACTTCTATTTCTCTCTCCTGTGTTATTAATGACTCATAGTCATCTTGAAAATGTAGTTGAGATTAATTTCTTATTCTAAATAAGTTGTTTTATAGCTTTTGTAGGAATTCTTTCTAAATACTCATTGAAAATACTACTTAAAAATTAAAAATTTTTGCCTTTCCCTCACTTAGCTACAAACTGCTTCACATTCTGGAATTTGACTCCGATCGTAGAAGAATGAGTGTGATTCTTCAGGCACCATCAGGTAATCAGTTTACACTTTTATAAATTCTTACTGGTCTTAATATTAAGAGCTTGATAATTAGTTTTTCTTTTTAGGTGAGAAACTTTTATTTGCTAAAGGAGCGGAATCATCAATTCTCCCTAGATGTATAGGTGGAGAAATAGAAAAAACAAGAATTCATGTAGATGAATTTGCTTTGGTGAGTACAAATTTCTATGATTTTTAAAAACTGTAAAATATGCAGTTTCAATAGTTTATAACTTTATTTCAGAAATGTGAAAATGTATGTTTTTGAATTAAATGTGAAATGTTAAATGAAAACTTGCAAGATAGATCTTAGGCTTAATTTTTTTTTTCTTAAATGTTTTATTGTGAATTATG